GATCTATCCTTAGTGAGCTGTGTATTGAACTCTCCTACTATGATTGTTGAACCTGTGATCTCTTTTTCATCTTTTGAAGAATTTGGTTGACAAATTTTGCGATTCTCTTGTGGGGCATGTATCTATTATTCTCATTGGCTTTTGATCTACTGATCCCTTGAGCATTATATAGTGCCCAATCTTATCTTTTGTTTTAATTTACATCTTGAGGTCAATTTTGTCAGAGATTAAAATTGCAACTCCTGCATTTTTTAGATTGTCATTTGCTTGATATACTTTACGCCAGCCTTTGATTCTCACCCTATTTTTGTCTGCGAGCTTAAGATGTGTTTCTTGCAGACAACAGATTGATGGGCTTTGTTTTCTAATCCAGTCTGCTAGCCTATGTCTTTAATGGGTGAATTCAAATTATTAATGGTCAGAGTTATTAAATCCATTTGTGGATTCTTTGTTGTCCTCTTGTACCTTTTGTGTTAGGTATTTGCCTGCTTCCCTCCTTATTGGTATGTTTTGTACTTGGAGGGGGAACTCATTCTTGCCTTCTTTTCACCATTGGGCCACTGTTACCTTGGGGGTTGTTTTCGATGTGTTGACTTCTGGCTGAAGTTGCACTATAGAGTGGTTTCCTGTTTGTGCTTGGTAAGTGTTGGTCTTCTGTCTAAAGTGAATTGGCAAGGATTTTTTGTAGTGCTGGGTTTCTTTTAACGTAGTTTCTGAATGTTTCCTTGCCAGGAACCCTCCTACCTGTCCATCTAGTTTTGATGGATAGTTTGGTGGGGTAGAGTATTCTTGGGTTAGAGTGACTCTCTTTCAGATTTCAGCAGATGCTGCTCCACTCTCTTCTCTTCTTATGGTGTCTGCTGACAAATCTGAGCATAGTCTTATCTGAGTGCCCTTGTAGGTGACTGCCTCTTTTTCTCTAGCTGCTCTTCTTCTTATGTTTTTTAAATAATTTTATTGGGGGCTTATACAACTCTTATCACAATCCATACATACATCCATTGTGTCAAGCACATTTGTACATTTGTTACCATCATCATTCTCAAAACATTTTCTTTCTACTTGAGCCCTTGGTATCAACTCCTCATTTCCCCCCCCTCCCTCTCCACTCCCCCCTCCCTCATGAGCCCTTGATGATTTATACATTATCATTATTTTGTCATAACTTACACTGTCCGACATCTCCCTTCCTTCATCTAGGACTCTTATAGCTCTTAACACAATCCATATATCCATCTATTGTGTCAAGCACCTTTCTACATATGTTGTCATCATCATTTTCAAAACCTTTTCTTTCTACTTGAGCCCTTGGTACCAGCTCTTTTCTTTTTTTATTCTCTCCCCCACCCACCCTCCCTCATGAACCCTTGATAATTTATCAATTATTGTTTTCATATCTTCCACCGAGCACTGTCTCCGTTCACCCACTTTTCTCTTCTTCATCCCCCTGGGAGGAAGTTATAAGTTGCTTGTTGTGATCAGTTCCCCCTTTCTCTGCCTACCTATGCTTAACCCTCCTAATGTTGTTACTTTCATTATTGGTCCTGAGGGGTTTATCTGTGCTGGATTCCCTGTGTTTCGAGCTCCTATCTGTATCGGTGTACATACTCTGGTCTAGCCAGCTTTGTAAGGTAGAACTGGGGTCATGATAGTGGGCGTAGGCAGGGAGGGTGAGCATTAAAGAACTAGAGGAAAGTTGCATGTTTCAACAGTGCTATACTGCACCCTGACTGGCTTGTCACCTCCCCACAACCCTTCTGTAAGGGATGTCCAATTGTCTAGAGATGGGCTTTGGTTCTCCACTCCACCCTCCCCCTCATTTACTGTAGAAAAGAATTTTTTACAGTTAATGTATCAGTTTATTACATTAAGATCAGTGTTATTAGCAATGTTTTATATGTTGAGCTCACTGAAGTTTTCGTTTTTAAAACCTTATTATTACTATATAATTCACATGTCATACAATCCAATAGTTCGATCATTATTTTAAAATAGTTGCACAGCCATTACCACAATCAATTGTAGTAGCTTTATTTTTGACATGGCTTTGAACTCTCATAAAATGTTATAGTCTCAGATATCCACAGGGCAGTTCTATTCTGCCAAATAGGGTTGCCGTTCATCTGAATCCACTCGAGAACAGTGAGTTTGTTTTTTGGTTTTTGTTTGTTTGCATTCTCTACATCATCAGGGTGTAAAGTTCAATACACACTGGTAACACGATTTTATTGATTTTGCTTTTTAGGACATGCACACAAGAGGACTTGTAAATTTCTTGAAAAATTCCATTATCTTTCAGTTCCCTTTTTCATGAACTATTGAAGTCCCCTTGTTTATCCTGATTTATTTTTGCCTGTTTGATTTGTATTGCACTGAGAGAAGGAGCCCTGATGGTGCAGTGGGTTTAACAAAGTTGGTGGTTCAAACTAACTAGCCGCTCCTGGGAGAAAGATGAGCCTGTCCCATGAAGATTTACAATCTTGGAAACCCTAAGGATCAGTTCTCTTCTGTCCTATAGCTTCACTGTGAGTCAGAATCAACTCCCTGTTACTGGCCTTTTTGTTTTGTACTCAGAGAAGGAGATTAAGGTCTTTGTGGATCTGTCAGTTGAGTGTTAGATTGCTAACCACAAGGTTAACAGTTCAAACCCAGAAACTGCTGCATGGAATGATGAGGCTACATGTTCCCATGGAAATGTACAGCTCTAAAACCCTGTGTAGGGTTGCTATGAGTTGGAGCTTAGTGGCAATGGATTTCTCTTTTATTACTTATTTAAGAAACTTTAGTGGTGCAGTGATTAAGCACTCAACGACAAACCAAAAAGCAGATGGTTCAAACTTCTCAAAATCCTTTCAAGAGAAAGATGTGACCATCAGCTTCCATAAATATTACAGCTTTGAAACCCTTATGGGAATTTCTACTCTATCCTAAAAAAAAGCTGCCAAAGTCAATTTTAACTCATTGTGACTCAAGAGGACAAAATAGAACTGCCCTTTTGGATTCTGAGTAGATAAATCTTTACAGGAGCGAAAAGCCTCACCTTTTTCATTCAGAGAGGCTGAAGGTCTCGACTGCTGACTTACATTTAGCAGCCCAACAGGTAATCCATTACTGCTACCAAGGCTCCTTACTCAATCCTGGAGGGTTGCTATGAACTGGGATTTATGCAGTGCCAGTGGTTGGGTCTTGGTTTACGTTTGTTTCTATCTGTGTCACATCTTATCTCTCATCACTTTTATTTTATGATGATGATGATTGTGTCCTTTTGTGCATAGTCATGCATTGTTGTATCTCCACTTGTCAGTCATGACATTTAACATTAACAAGTACCTTCCTTTGTCAGGTTTAATCTTGTCTTTGAATTTGGTGTTTTCTAATACCAGGATCACTCTCTCTTCATCCACCCTAATAATGTAGGCCTACCCCAGCTCAGGGCATTTCATCACCAGATGCTTTGGAAACTGTTCTGTAGTTATTGCTGAAGAAGTGGTTTACTTTAATGGATGAATAATTTGGTTTGTTTTTGCTTTTTCTTAAAATTCTTTAGAACAATTTTACTGTTCAGCTCTTTTTAGGGTTTAGACACCCAGATAAGTAATCTTCCGTAGCATTTAAGTTTTATAAATAAGTAGACTATTTTAAAGTTCCCATATTTTCATAAAGGAATATCTGAATTCCTACAAGTACCAATGTGTGGTTTTCTTTTTTGACAAAAATTACCATATAAGTAATAGACATGCATTTATTTTTGTTATTTAGTATGAGAAATTGTCATATGCGTACATACCTCTGAAACCATCACCAAGGTCCAACATTTTCATAATATTAAACATTTTCATTACCTTTGACACTTTGTAGTGACCCTTGGCAGTCCACGCCTCTTTCCCACCCAGTAAGTACCCAGGCAGTCATTAATTTGCTTCCTGGCATGATTAATTCTTGCATATTTTCTAGAACGTTAAATAACTATAAACTATGGTTTTAAAACTACATAGTGTATATTCTTTTTTATCTGTCTCCTCGCACTCAACATAATTCACTTCAGATTCATCCATGTGGTTGTGAGTATCAGTCATTCTTGTATACTTTGGGACCATTCCATTATATAGGGTATTCTGAAATTTGTTTCTCTATTACCTATCTGTGAAAGGAGCCCTGTCAAGTAAGAATTGGACTGCTAACAGAAAGGCAAGCAGTTTAGACCTACCAGCCACTTTGCAGGAGAAAGATGATGCTGTCATTTCTCGTAACGATTTACTGCCTAGGAAACCTTGTATAGAGTCATTGTGAGTCAAACAGATTTGTGGTGATGGCATAGGACCAAGCTGCATTTTGTTCTATTGTATGCAGTAAGTCAGACAAACTTAGGAGCACAGAGCAGCAGCAAATTTGAACTGTTTTGCCATTTTGGACTCATAAATAAAGCTGCTATGAACTTTCTTATTCTTGTAGAAGTCTTTGTTTACACATATACTTTTCATTTTTCTTGGGTAAATAGCTGAGAATGGAATGACTCAGTCAGTAAATGTTTACTTTTTAAAAGAAATTACCTTCCTCTTTTCTAAAGTGGTTGTACATTCACACCAACAGTATTTGAGAATTTGATTGCTTCACATCCTTAGCAACACTCGTCTTTTTAGTTTTAGTCACTTTTAGTGCATTGTATAAAGCTGAACCAATGTGAGATATAGCAGAGCCTTAGTTACTTTAGATTTTTATTTTTCTATCTTCATTTTCCACTAAACTAAAAAAAGTGTTTCTTATAAAATTATAGATGATTGCATCAGCAGAGGTGTGTGTTAGGGCTGTAACCTCTCACCGTACGTCTTCAATCTGTGCTGAGTAAATAATTTGAGGCGCTGAACTGTATGAAGAAGAGTATATCATTATGATAAATGGAAACGAGATTATCAGTCTCAAGGATTTCATTCAGTGCTCATAGAAACAGTAGGCAAGAAGTCAAACAATAGAAAAATGAGACTTGAACAATTCTGTTTGAGTTTTCATTTTTATGCTAAATCTTCTTCTCAGTGGACAGAGACCAGCTGATAATGCTGTGGCGAAGGTGAACAGACACAGCTGCCTTCAGAGAAGATGTAGGCCTCTCCATGCACAAATGTCCTTCCGCTGAGCCTTCACTAGATCTCTGCACAGTCTGCCAGCAGAAGGAGTGGCACAACCTACCCACAAAAGAAAACTTTGTTATGGCAGGACTGTGATTGCTTAGAGGACTGCACTAAAAGGAATTTTTTGAAAGCAGCAGATAAGTCATTAATTCCATAGAATTCTCTTCTTTCTGGCTTCTCTCTAGAACATAAATTTAAAAGGGTGATCACAGTAGTTGTATAATTATTTACCTGCATAAGAAAGAGTTCTCATTTTTGTTATCTGTATATGATTATTATCATATGCTTTCTTAAACTACCTTTTAATGTTTAATAAATCTGTAACAGTAAAAATGCAAGAGTTTATAACTTTTGTTTCATATTTTTATAATTCTTCTAATATATTAAAATAACCAAATCTAAAGTCAGTTTTATTCACCATTTAGCTATGCAATGTAGGACAAAGTAATTGGTTCATGGACCAATTAATAGAGAAATTAAGGAGGACATTATTAATTGCTGATTTTACATGCTAGGTACTCACATTTACAAAAGTATGAATTTCATTTTGTATTATTTGTCTCATGCAGTAAATAAAAGTATAAAATATATTTCAGGCTATTTTTAAACTAAAATCATTTCTGATTTTTTTTATCATCCCCTAATTCTAAAAAAGCCAAAGTTTGATTTCCAAAAAAAGAAAAACAGACAAACAAAAGAAGTCAAATGATATATTGCTGCAAAAGTTAAAGAGTTAAAGAGCAAAGGTGCCACTTTGAGAACTAAGGTGTTCTCGACCCAAGTTGTGGTATTTTCAGTCGCCTTCTGTGGTTAGGAAAGCCCGACAATGAATAGGAAAGACCAAAGGATAATTGATGCCATTGAGTTATGGTTGGTGCAGAATACTAAGTATACCATGAACTTTCAGAAGAACAAGCAAATCCAAGAGGAAGATGCCCTTGTGCTGCAGTGGTCATGTGCTTGGTTACTAAGCCAAAGATCAGTAATGTGGGGAAAGACGTGGCGATATGCTCCTGTTTAAGATCCTTAGCAGCAAAGGTGGCAAGACTTTGTCTCACACATGTCTTCAACATGTTATCAGAAGGCGCCAGTCCCTGGAGAATGACATCATGCTTGGTGAGGTAGAAGAACAATGAAAAAGAGGAAGACCTTCAACAACATGACTTTAACACAGTAGCTATAACAGTGGGCTCAACACAGCAATAGTTCTGAGAATGATGCAGAACCAGTCACTGCTTTGTTCTATTGACAGTCACTACAGGTCAGAAATGACTCAATTCCACCTAACAACATGTCTTGAATATAGGATATCATCTTAAAATCAAGGTTTTCTTAACTCCAGAAAGAAAAAAACTCTTTTAGGAACTACCACTTGAAAGTCAAAAAATAATTGATCCAGAGGTAAGGGGTGTTGGGGGGTGGGGTGGGGGAGGTGTAGAGTTGATAGATGAAGTCAGTGCAAAGAATGAGACAAGGGAATAGCCAAACCAGAACCAAACCCATTGCCGTGAAGTTCAATCTGATGCTGTTATACTACCATAGGACAGAGTAGAACTGCCTCATAAAGTGTCCAAGGTTGTAAAACATGGAAGCAAACTGTGATAGCTTACTCCTACAGAAAGACTGATGCTTTCAAACTGCTGACCATTTGGTTAGTAGTTGAGCACCTATTCACTGTGCCCCATAAAACCACTGCTATCAAGTCTTTTCTGACTCAATGCTTGACCCACTGTGTCACCAGAGCTCAAAGTTGAGTGATAAGATAAAGAACACATATGGAACTTGTCTGAGGGCACATCATGACTTTATCCTGGATTTGAATAGTCACCTTGGCTCCTTAATTTCTCCAGCCATACTTGTGTTACCTCCATCTTTGTCATGAGTCCCAAGGTTCACAATCAGAGATACCCAGTTGTGTGAGGTAAACAAAGGCAAACATTTAATCCCCACTTTGGGATAAGGATGATTCATTTTTCAACCTGATAGCACTGGGTGACTAACCACAAGATCGATAGTTCAAACCCACCAGCTGTTCTGCAGGAGACAAATGAGGCATTCTGCTCCCATAAAGATTTATAGATCATTGAAGACAAAATGGGTGCATAAGCAAATGTGGTGAAGAAAGCTGATGGTGCCTGGCTATCAAAAGATATAGCATCTGGGGTCTTAAAGGATTGAAGACAAACAAGCAGCCATCTAGCTGAGAAGCAACAAAGCCCACATGGAAGAAGCACACCAGCCTATGTGATCATGAGGTGTCAATGGGATAAGATATCAGGCATCTAAGACCCAGAACAAAATCATACCAATGTGTGTGGGGGGTGGGGTGGTGGTGGAGGGGGGGGCAGATGAGAAGTGGAGACCCAAAACCCATCTATAGACAATTGGACAACCCCTCACAGAAGGTTCACAAGGAAAAGTTGACCCAGTCAGGGTGCAGTATAGCACTGATTAAACACAACTTTCCTCTAGTTCTTTAATGCTTCCCGCTCCACCCCACCCAATCATGACCTCAATTCTACCTTACAAATCAGATTAGACCAGAACATGCACACTGCTACAGATAAGAACCCACAGCACAGGGAATCCAGGATAGATAAACCCCTCAGGGCCAACAATGAGAATAGAGATACCAGGAGAATAACGGGAAAGTGGGGGGAGGAAGGAGGATCAGTCACAAGGATCAACATATAACCCCCTCCCAGGGGGACGAACAACAGAAAAGTGGGTGAATGGTGACAGAGGATGATATACGATATGAAAATAATAATCTATAACTTATCAAGGATTCATGATGGAGGGAGGGTGACGGAGGAGAGCGAAAAGCTGATACCAAGGGCTCAAATAGAAAATGCTTTGAAAATGATATATGGCAACATATGTACAAATGTGCTTAACACAGTGGATGAATGTATGGATTGTGATGAGTTGGAAGAGCCCCCAATAAAAATATATAATGAAAAGAAGAAGAAGAAGATGTATGAATGGATGCTGGGCAGCTAAATCAAAATATGTTGTTTATCTTGGAAAAACAAATCATCTGCATCAGCACATCTTTGATGAACAACCGCAAAATAAAGCTTATTAGTTTGAGATTAAAAAAAAAAAAAGATTTATAGCTTCGGAAACCAACAGGAGCAATTCTACTCTGTCCTGTAGGGTTGTTGTAGGGTGTCAGCATGGAATCAGGCAGTGAGTGATTTTTTTCTCCCTTAGACTACTTCAAGTTGGATGCCATGATCGTGATATCCAACCTGCTTGACTTTTCGTTGCTAGCTGATGACTGCAGCCTGAGGGCTGCAAGGGCCAGGTGCTCTTCTGCTGACCAAAAGGCCAACTACTGTGGGAGAAGGTCTGGCAAATCTGTTCCTGTGAAGATTACAGCAGAGGAGACCACCTGGGGCATTTTACTCTGCCCCACAGGATCCCCTTGAGTTGAACTCAACAAAAACAAGCTCCTTCATTAAAAAAGAGTCATCCGGTGGATCAAAAGCTTTCCCTTTTTTTCCCCTTGGATAAGGAAAATAAGAGTACAATTTTAAAAATTTTTCTTAAAGAGCTCGTGTAACTGACACAAGGGTTATATAGGGGATATAGGGGTTGAGGGTGGGAGATAGGGAACGTGAGGGGATTTTAAGGAGCAAATGATGTATGCAGGAGGGGGGAGGGAGAGTACTAGAACTGATTGTGATTACACAACTCATTTTTTATCATTTTATTGGAGGCTCCTATAGCTCATAACATTCCATGCATCAGTTGTATCAAGCATATTTGTACATAAATTGCCATCGTCATTTCCAGAACATTTTCTATTTGAGCCCTTGGTATAAGCTCCTCTTTTTTCCCCTCCCTCCCCTACTCTTCCACCCTCATGAATCCTTGATCCATTATATATTGTTATTATATCATATCGTACACTGTCTGTTGTCTCCCTTCACCCACATTTCTGTTATTCATCCCCTTGGGGGGGGGCGCGCTATTTATCTAACCTTGTGATGGGTTCCCCCTTTCTCCCCCTTCTCCCTCCCCGAACATCCCCCTACACCCATGATATCGCTACTCCCACTTCTGTTCTTGAGGGGTTTATCTGTCCTGAATTCCATGTGTCAAGAGCATTTATCTGTACCAATGTGTGTTTTTGATCTAGCCAAATTTGTAAGGTAGAACTGGGTCATGGTAGTGGGGCGGCGGTGTGGGGCATTCAGGGACTAAAGGGATGGTGTGTATTTCGTTGGTGCTATTCTGCACCTTGGTTGAATCATTCCTTATAATCATTCTGTGGGGGGATATCCAATTGTCTACAGGTAGGCTTTGAGTCTCTACTCAAAACCCCTTCGTTCACCTTAAAATAGTTGCTTGTTTTGGATTTTGAGACCTGATGCCTGTTCCCTTCTACACCTCATGATCAGACAGGTTGGTGTGCTTCTTCTATGTGGGCTTTTTTGCTTCCCTGCTGGATGGCTGTTTGTTTAATTTCAAGCCTTTAAGACCCCAGACACAATCTTTTGATAGCCGGGCACCATCTGCTCTCTTCACCACATTTGCTTATGCACCCATTTTGTCTTCAGCAATTGTCAGGAAGGTGAGTATCAAAGAGTGGCAGGTTATTACAACAAAGTGTTCTTGTGTTAAGAGAGGCCTTGAGTAGAGACCCAAAGTCCATCTGCTATCCTAATACTTAACATATAAATATGTGTACATTGGTCTCTATCCCTTTCATTATAAATTAGTATATTTACATAGATACATGCCTATAGCTATACCTCTATAACTGGCTTTTGCCTTGTATTTCCTCTATTGCCTTTCACCTTCCTCCTATCCCACTATCATGCTCACCCTCTCCATTCAGCTCTCTATAATTCCTCTTGGATACATTGCATTTGATTAAACCCCACCAGGCATTAAACACCCTCCTCACCATCAATTTTAGATCTTTTATTGTTTCCTTATCCCTGAGTTTGTTGGCTCCCCAACCCCCCTCCCTACCCTCTCCTCTCCCATGTCC